ACCTTGGAGATTCTCTCATTTCTTGGAAATCGAAGAAACAAATCACTGTCTCTCGTAGCTCTTCTGAGGCTGAGTATCGTGCCTTGGCCACGACCACTTGTGAACTTCAATGGCTATCCTATCTTTTGAAGGATTTTCATATTGATCTTATTCGCCCAAGTATCTTGTATTGTGATAATCAATTTGCCTTACAAATTTCTTCTAATCCGATTTTCCACGAACGAACGAAGCACATTGAGATTGACTGTCATATTGTGCGTGACAAAGTTTCTACTGGTCTGCTTAAGCTTCTTCCAGTGTCTTCTTCTCTGCAACTCGCTGACATCCTTACGAAGCCTCTTTCACCTTTTGTGTTTCGCAGTCACTGTTCCAAGCTGGGCATGCTTAACATACATTCCCAGCTTGAGGGGGGCTCTTAGCTCTCTTTTTCCCTTTCTATTTTGTGGGCTTTTATGGGCTGCTCATCCTCTATTTTGGGCCACGTATCTTTCTGTTTTTCTTTTCTGTTACATGCGTATCTTTCTGTTATTTTTCCTCTCTCCCTTCTTGTATATATGCAGCGTTTTGCAATCAATAAAATCAGATGGGATATTGAGTATTCTCTTGCAGTTATTTTATTCTCCTTTCTTTCACATATTTTGTTAGAGAGAGAATTTATCACTTAAAATAAAATCATTTTTAAATGTTATAAATAATTTATATTTTTTTATTATAATTCATTTTAATAACTTACAATTTTATAAAATATCTTTCAAATCAAATATATTTTTACTATAGTGTATATTTGAGAAAAAATATTTTAGTAACTTGTAATTTTATAAAAATATATTTTATGTTATGTGTCAATGTCTTATATCACTATTAAACATAGGGGTGTTCATAAAACTATTTAAAACTAAATTTTTTAAATAACTAAACTAAACTAAACTAAAATAAACTAAATTATTTTTTAATAGTTTAAACCAAACTATTAATTTTAGTATAGTTTATAAAACTAAACTATTAAAATTAATAGTTCAGTTCACTAAAAGCAAATAGAAGCACTGAAACAGCGGAGACTACAGTACCAGACTACCAGTTCGGACTCGCGGAGACCTGAAGCAGCGGAGACTATAGTACCAGACTACCAAACAACAAAGACTTTTCCAAGTTT